GGGGGATGAGGGGGACATGTGGATAAAGCTGAGGGGACACAGGGAGAGGAGCAGGAGGACACAGGGACAGACCCAGGAAAGGCACAGGGACAGGGTGGGGGAACGTGGATAGAAATTTGGGGGGACACAGAGATCAGATGGAGGGATGTAGGTACGAACTTGGGGAGGTTGTGGGTATAAACTTGGGGGGGATACGAGGACACGATGGGGGGATACAGGGACAAACTCGGGGGGACATAGGGGCAATCTCGGGGGATATGGGGGCAGGATGGGGGGAGATGTGGGGACAGGGTGGGAGTGCATGTAGGGGAAGATCCACGGGGTGTGAATACAGAACTGGGGGTACAGGGACAGGACCGATGGGACACGGGGACCAGCCCGGGGGCCATGGGGACAAAACTGGGGGGGGGGGGGGGGGGACAGGAGCGGAAGAAGAGAGCCAGGGGGGGGGGGGGGCGGGGGGGGGGGCGGGGGCGCCGCGGGGGGGGACCCACACTGCACAGCGCGGATGGGGGGGGGGGGACGCGCCGCAGGGAGGGGACCCCCGGGCGGGTGCGGGGAGGGGACCGTAGGGGGAGAGGGGGCTTTGGGGCGGGGGCGGTGGGGGGTCCCCATGGCCGGGCTGAGGCGGCGGCGGCGCTGAGGCCGAAGCGCGGCGCCGAGGAAGAGGAAGAGCGAGAGAGCGCTGCTAAGACCCAGAGGGCTCTGCGGGCAGCGGGGCGGGCAGAGCGCGCAGGCAGCGGCGGCTCCATCACCAGCCACAGAGAAAGGGGAAGAGGAGGAGGAGAAGGGAGGAAGGAAGAAGGGCCGTGGCGGAGCAGGGCGGGCGGGGGGGCCCCGCCGAGGATGGACATGGCCTGACGGGGCCTGGCAGCCGGCCGGTGCAGGTGTGCCGGCGGCGGCCCCCCCCGGTAGCATCCTCGCCCTCCCCGATGCCGCTGTAGCCGGCGAGGGGCCGCGGCGTGAGCGGGGGGCTCGGCGGGGGCGGCGGCGGCGAGCGATGCTGCGGGGAGCGGCGGCGGAGCCATGCTGAGGACGGAGGCAGGCGGAGGGGCGGCCGCCGGGGGGGGTTCCCCCTCCTCCGGCGGGGCGGCGGGCGGCGGGGGGCTGCGGAGCGCGTCCCCGCACCGGAACGCCTACGAGGCCACCATCCAGGCCCTGGCGCCCACAAAGGAGGCCGACGGCGGCGAGGACGGCAAGAAGAGCCGGGGCAAGAAGTATGGCTCCAACGTCCACCGGATCAAGAACATGTTCCTGCAGATGGGGACGGCGCCCGGCCCCGAGGGTGCCTGCGACCTGGCCAAGGCCAAGGAGAAGCCGGTGCGCCTCTCCTTGCCCCGCGCCGGCAGCCTCAGCGAGACCGTGGACCAGGGCAGCCTCCTCAAGCTGGGCACCAGCGTCTCGGAGCGGGTCAGCCGCTTTGACTCCAAGCCCGACAAGCCCTTCTCCAAGCTGCAGGAGACCCGCAAGATCTTCGAGAGGAGCCCGCAGGAGAAGGCCACCACCACCAAGCTGCTGCTCCGCAAGGAGCGCGCCGGCTTCCAGGACCGCAAGCTGGACGTGGTGGTGAGGTTCAACGGCAGCACCGAGTCCCTGGACAAGCTGGACGCCGACGCCGTGTCGCCTACGGTCAGCCAGCTCAGCGCCGTCTTCGAGAAGGCCGATCTCCGGAACAACCTGCACAAGGCGCAGGGCAGGGCGGGAGCGCCGCTCAACGCCAAGGTGGTGGGCAAGCGGCCGCGGGTCTTCGCGCCGGGCGCCGAGGCCGGGCGCCAGGGCGATGGGCACCCTGCCCCAACCCGCGCACGGCCACCCGAGGAGGAGAAGGCGCCGAGCAAAAGCGTGAGGCCCGCGGAGAAGGAACCGGCCGCCCCACGGGTGCAGGAGGTCTGCAAGATCAAGCCGGTGGAGGTGGAGGAGAGCGGAGAGGGCGAGGATGAGGAGGAGGAGGCGGCGGCGGCGGGCGAAGCGGTGCCACCCGTGCCTCAACTGGCCAAGGGGGACGAGGGTCCGGTGGCGACCACCCCACGGCTGGATGGGGGCGCCGGGGTGGCCGCGGGCGAGGAGGGCGTCAAGGGCGAGCGGGCGGAGGAGGGCGATGGCTACGAGGAGGCCAAGAAGGAGGACTTCTCTGAGGCGGACCTGGTGGACATAAGTGCCTACAGCGGGCTCGGGGAGGACTCGGGGGGCAGCGGGCTGGAGGAGGAGGAGGAGGCCGAAGGGCTGTACGAACCCGAGTCGGGCTGTGTGGAGATCCCTGGGCTGTCCGAGGAAGAGGAGCCCGTCCCCAACCGCAAGATCCAGTTCAGCACGGCGCCCATCCAGGTGAGACTGGCTGGGAGTGGGGGGCGGCTGGGGAGGAAGGGAACCTGGGGTGAGAGGTACCCCAGGGTGAGGGGTACCCAGGGTGACAGGTACCCGGGGTGAGGGGTAACCAGGGTGACAGGTACCCAGGGGACGGGTACCCAGGGTGAGGGGCACCCCAGGGTGAGAGAAACCCAGGATGAAGAGTACCCAGGGTGAGGGGTACCCTGGCTGTACCCAAGTGGGCCCAGGTGGGCAAGCAGCCCAAGATGAGGGGTACCCTAAGATGAAGGGCACCCCAGGGTGAGGGGCAGCCCAGATAGGTGTATGGGACCCCCACAAAATCACCCCTTTGGAGGGGACAGAGAAATGGGGTGCAGATCTCTGCCCCCCTGCCCTGTGCCCTCCAAGGACAGGGCATCCCTCCTGACCATGCCTTTACACTGGGGGAAGCTGGGCCTGGGCCTGGCTAACAAGCTGGCTAACGAAGGGCCAAGCCCGGGCATGGTGGAGACCCCCTGCCAACAAGGGTCCCCCCGGGGCTGGTGTGGTGGGGTCAGGTACCCACTGGGGCGGACTGTCCACAGCCCCCAGTGCCAACCCCCCCATCGTGCCCGGGACAGGCCAAGACCCACTCCATATTTTGGGAGGGGTTGCCTGAAATATCCGTGTACGAGGTGCTGGGTGCTGGGGCTGTGCCACCCTTGGTCCTGGGTGTCCCTCGGTGCCAGGACTCCTCCCAGACCGGGGGGTCCCCTAGGACAAGGTGGCTCTGGGGGGGTTGTGCCCCCCCTCGTGTGCCCAGCCCGGTGCCCAGAGCCGTTTCGGGAAGTGGAGGAAGGGGAAGTGCCGTGGCAGCGTGGCCGGGTGGGCGGCATCGCCCGAGCACCCCCCACTCCCCACCGGGGATCCTGGCAGGGTTTGGGATCCCTACCTGGGATGCTCCCCCAGTGAAGGGGGGGCTAAAGGGGCCGTGCAGCTATTTTGGGGTGTTCTCTCCCGCACGGATCCCCCCGACTGCGGGAGCAGCGGTTGCTTTGTGCCGGAGCCGGGTTATTTTTAGAGCCCCGGCCTATATTCTGGCTCTGAGTCAGAGCGGGTGGGTGGCCCCACCTGGGACAGGGGGACAGGGGGACAGGGAGCACCGTGGCCTGGGCAGGGGGCAGTGGTGGCCATGTGCTGGGGTGGCTGCACGTTGCAGGGAGTCTTGGTCCTGTGGGAACCAGCCAACCCAGCCCTGGGAATGGTGCCCTGGCCATGGATGTGTTTTTGGGGTGCTCTGCTCACCCCAGCACAGCCTTTAACCTCTTGCTTTTACCTACCTCGGGGGTGGGGTCCCACGTGTGGGGGTGGGTGGAGAGTGGAATCCAGGTCCCTGCCCAGGTATAAGGGTGATGCTGAGTCCCCCAAACCCGCTGTAGGGCTTGGAGACATTGGGGTCCCCCCCCAGCCCAGCGCTGGGGGCACACACCACCAGCCCCTTCCCTTGGCTTCGGCTGCTTCTCCCTTGGAATCTACTCCAGGCCCCCCCACATCCCAAATCCCCCAGGACCTGGGGGTGGGAGGCACAGCAGGGTGAGTGGGGACATGTGCCCACAGCCCCCCAGGGACCTCATATGGACAGGGGGACATTGGCACGTCTCCTGCCCTGCTCCTCCCTGTCACCCCTGGGGGCCACCCATGTGGGTCCTGCCCTTCTGTGGGTGTCACTGGGCTTTGTCCCCTGACACTCATCCCTAATACCCTTTGTGTCCAGGCTTTATCACCACGGTGTTATCCCTAATCCACTCGCTCTGGCGGCATCGAGGGGCCAGGGCCCCTCCTGGGACATCTGCCAGGCCCAGCCTCTGCCAGCCCCTCCCCAGCAGCCCCCAGTGGACATGGCACCCACTCCCTCCAGCTCCAGGCTGGGGACAACATCCTGGAGTCACATCCAGCCTCGGCCAGGGAGGGTTTAGGGGTGCCCCATGGTGGGGGTCAGTGTCCCCAGGGATTTGGCACGGGAGGGTGAACAGATGCCCCACAACAAGGGTCAGTGTCCCTGAGGATTCAACACAGGAGGGTTTGGGGTGCCTCATGAGAGGAGTCAACATCCCCAGGGATTTGAGGTGCCCCATCCTTCTATTAGTCCTTCATTTCATCCATCCATTCTTCCACCTATCCTTCCTTCCTTCCTTCCTTTTTTCTAGTCATTCTTCCATCCATCCATCCATCCTTCATCCATCCATTCATCCACCCATCCATCTGCCATTCCATACGTCCATCCATCCATCCATCCATTCACCTTTTCATCCATCCATCCACCTTTTCATCCATCTATCCATCCATCCTTCCATCCATCCATCCTTCCATGTGGTGCAGGCACCATCTCCTCTCCCAGAGCCACCTCCAAACCCTTTGTCGTTCCTCATCTCCCCCTCGCTCCATGACACGATGTGGGGAGGGGGATTCTCTGGTGTCTTACAGGCTCCCTGCCCTGCCCATGCCTGGGGCTCTCCCACCCAGAGATTCCCATTGCCGTGGGTGTCCCTGGTGTTTTCCCACCTGGCTGAGCAGCTCCCTGTTCCCACCAGGTGTTCAGCACTTACTCCAACGAGGACTACGACCGCCGCAATGAGGACGTCGACCCCATGGCCGCCTCGGCCGAGTACGAGCTGGAGAAAAGGGTGGAGAGACTCGACCTCTTCCCTGTGGAGCTGGAGAAAGGTGGGTCCTCACCCCATCCCACACCCCAGGGCCCCTGTGGCACCTTGGAGGTGACTCCGTGGTGTTGGGTGGCCGTGGCTGCCCTGCCAGGACACGTCTGTCTGTCCCCACAGACTCCGAAGGGTTGGGGATCAGCATCATCGGGATGGGAGCGGGGGCCGACATGGGCCTGGAGAAACTGGGAATCTTCGTCAAGACAGTGACGGAAGGAGGGGCGGCCCACCGGGATGGCAGGTATGGGCTGGGGGGACTGCCCACCTGTATGGCTGCTCCTGGCATGGGGGTGGGAGCAGGGACACGGTTCAGGTGTTCCCCGGGATCAGGGAGATGGTCCAGATGTTCCCTGGGGTGGGAGTAGATGATGATCCAGGTGTTCCCAGGCTGGGAGCAGATGATGATCCAGGTGTTCCCTGGGTGGGAGCAGATGATGATCCAGACATTCCCGGGGTGGGAGCAGGGTCATGATCCAGATGTTCCCTGGTGTAGGAGGAGGCAGATGGTCCAGGTGCTCCCTGGGGTGGGAGCAGGGAAATGGTCCAGGTGTTTCCAGGATGGGAGCAGGCAGATGGTCCAGATGTTTCCCAGGGTGGGAGCAGGGACATGGTCCAGGCGTTCCCATGATAGGAGAAGGCAGATGATCCAGGTGTTCCCAGATAGGAGCAGATGATGATCCAGATGTTCTCTGGGGTGGGAGCAGATGATGATCCAGCTGTTCCCTGCAGTAGGGGAGGTGGGCGAGGGGTGGCCCCGTTGTGACGGTCCCCTTGTCCCCAGGATCCAGGTGAACGATCTGATTGTGGAGGTGGATGGCACCAGCCTGGTGGGAGTGACCCAGAGCTTCGCCGCCTCCGTCCTCAGGAACACCAAGGGCCGCGTCCGGTAGGACCCGGGGCTGGGGGGCTTGAGGGGCTGGGAGACCCCCGGAATCTCTGCTGAGACCCCTGTGGTCCCTGCCCCATAGCCGGTCCCCAGGCTGGGCTGTCCCCCAAAATACCACTCCCCCTCATAAATACCACTCCCTCCTCATGCCCACTGCCTGTGCCACCCGAGCACCCCCCAAAACGCCCCCAGCTCCTCCCCAGCCCCCACGACACCCCCTAAACCCACCACTCCCAGGAGGACTGCAGGGATGTCCCTCAGCTGTGTCCCCCACCCTGTCCCCCTGCGGCCAGGCCCCCCTGTCCCTGCTGACCCCCCGCTGCCCCCCAGGTTCCTGATCGGGCGGGAGAAGCCGGGGGAGCAGAGCGAGGTGGCACAGCTGATCCAGCAGACACTGGAGCAGGAGCGGTGGCAGCGGGAGATGATCGAGCAGCGCTACACTCAGTACACCGAGGATGACGAGGAGGTGAGGGGACAATGCCCACCCCCCCAGGGTCCCCCTGCCCCATATGGGGCCGGTAACACCGTTTCCCCAGGTGGGGATGCCAATGGTGCCCTGTGCCCTCCCCAGACGGGTGAATATGCCACGGACGAGGAGGAGGAGATGAGCCCCATGTTCCCCGGCGGGGAGATGGCCATCGAGGTGTTCGAGCTGGCCGAGAACGAGGACACGCTGTCCCCCGTGGAGATGGACCCCGAGAAGCTGGTGCACAAGTTCAAGGAGGTGAGGAGGGGCTGGGGGGAAGCCGGGGGAGAGGGGGCTGCCCACACATGTGTGCCCACCTCGTGCCCACACCGGCTCCTCCCACAGCTCCAGATCAAACACGCCGTCACCGAGGCCGAGATCCAGCAGCTCAAGAGGAAGGTAAGTGGGGGTCTGGGGGTCCCGGCTGCCCAGGAGTGGGGGGACACCCTGACATCTCCCCTGGCACCCCTGGATCTCCATCTCCACCATCCTCTCCGAATTCCTCACATCCCCACCCCTGCCCTGCACGTGCTGTGCCGTGTTCTGCCTGTCACCTGGCTGTGCCATGTCATGCCTGTTCCCTGTTTGTGCCATGCCATGCCATGCCACACCACGTGGCTGTGCCGTGCCATACCGTGCCTGCTCCCTGGTCATGCTGTGACATGCCATGCCAAGCTATGCTGTGCTGTGCCTTGTCACATCTGCTCACTCCCTGGTTGTGCCATGCTGTCCCATGCTTTGCAATGCTTGTTCCCCAACTCTGCCATGCTGTGCCATATCCCGCTCCCTGACTGTGCCATGCTGTGCCATATCCCATTCCCTGACTGTGCCATGCCGTGCCATATCCCATTCCCTGACTGTGCCATGCTGTGCCACCCCCAGCTGCAGTGCCTGGAGCAGGAGAAGGCACGCTGGCGGGCTGAGAAGGCCCAGCTGGAGCAGAGCGTGGAGGAGAACAAGGAGCGGATGGAGAAGCTGGAAGGGTACTGGATGGAGGCCCAGAACCTGTGCCAGGCTGTGGACGAGCACCTCAAGGAGACCCAGGCCCAGTACCAGACCCTGGAGCGCAAGTACAGCAAGGCCAAGCGGCTCATCAAGGAGTACCAGCAGAAGTGAGGGCAGCACCCACCCCCCACCCGTCCTCCCCCAGGCACCCCGTGTCCACCTGGGCATGGACCCGTCCCCTGGGAACTGACCCCTCCCCGGGCACCCCTGGTCCCTGGGAACATTGGGCTGGGCCATCCCCTGGGCATGGACCTGACCCCCAGGAACCAGGCCCTCCCTGGGCATCCCTGATCTCTGGGCACAGTCCGTGCCATTGGGCTGAGTCGTCCCCTGGCCATGGATCTGTCCTCCAGGAACCAGATCCTTCCCTGGCACCCCCTGTCCCTGGGCACAGCCACATAACGTGGGCACAGATCACGCCTTGGTGTGGACCCTCTTGTGGGGCTCTGACCCCCTCATGGGGGGCCCCCTTTGTCCCCAGGGAACTTAACATCCCTTGGGCAGAAATACATCCCTTGGGGCACCAGATCCTTCCTGGGCACCCCCGTCCCTGGGCAGGGACATTCCACTGGACAGGGACTCCTCCCTGGGGAAACAGCTCCATCCTGATCATGGATCGTGCCCTTTGAAGGAACCTTCCTCTTGACAGAGACTCATCCCTGGGGCACCAAATCCTTCCTGGGCACCCTTTGTTCTCTTGGCATGGACCATTCCCTGTGCAGGAACCTTCCCTGTGACATGGATCCACAAGGCCAGGTTGGACAGGGCTTGGAGTGACCTGGTCTAGTGGAAGGTGTCCCTGCCACAGCAGGGAGTGGGATAAGATCATTTTTAAGATCCCTTCCAACCCCAGCTATTCCATGACTTGATGATTCCATGATCCCTGGGGCTCATGTGCATCCCTCATTCCCTGGGCACGGCCCATCCCCTGGAAGACCCCTGGGCACCATCATCCCACTGAGCTGGGTGTCCCAGGATCCCCCTGCCCTGGTCCCCCTCCCTGGGGTATCCCCAGGGCCGGGGGGGGGGCCGTGCACCCACGCACTGATTCCCGCAGGGAGATTGAGTTCCTGAAGAAGGAGACGGCGCAGCGGCGGGTGCTGGAGGAGTCGGAGCTGGCACACAAAGAGGAGATGGAGAAGCTGCAGGAGAAGGTGGGCACCGGACGCCGGGACCAGGGGTGTCCCTGAGCCCCCCAGCCCCACCCGGCCACGGCCGCATCGCTCCCGGGGCTCCGTCGCCGATGGATCCGGGGGATCTGCTGGGCCGCCGGATCCCGCGCCGGGGGGTTGTGGAGCTGTGTGGGGCACCGGCTCCCTCTGGACTGAGCTACGGCCGCTGGATCCCAGCCCGGGGCACGGTGGATCTGCCTGGGGCTCCCACCGGGATTGTGCTCCCGCCACCGGATCACAGCGGATCTGCTCGGGCGCTGGGCAACGCCCGGGCCTCCTCCCGGCACTGGATCCCACGCGGGATTGCAGGGGATCTGCCTGCGGATCCCGCTCTGGGGTCTGACAGCCCACAAAGAGATCACCTCGGGCACCAGATCCCAGGCTGCTCGTGCTGGATCCCACGAGGGTTCCCCAGAGATCATCCCACGCGATCCTGTTGGGAGCCGGATCCCATGCTGGTCATGCTGGATCCCCCAACAGACCCCACTGGATTCCATGCCAGCCACACTGGATCCCCCCCAGCCGTGGGGTCAGAGCCGTGCGGGACCACAGCAGATCCCACATGGGCTCACCGGATCCCAAAGGATCCCAAGGGTCTGCCGTGGGTCGCAGTGGGGGGGGGCCATGCCCGGCTGGGGGGCACCAGGGCACAGCGGGGAGGTCCCTGGCACCCAGCAGAGCCCCTCCATGCACCCACCTCCATCACCCCAAAATATCCCCTGACATCCCACAGAGACTCACCCACCGCCTGCCTGCAGCCCCC